TGACTACATGCTCAGGTAAAATTTGAGTTTCTTAGTACAACCTCCAGATGAAGAAAAGGATTACAAATATTGAGAGACAATGGTAGTGTCTGCACAGCTATAAGCCCTCTAGATACTCTTAAATCTTGTCCATGTCATATCTGTCGTATCTATAATTCTCCAGGAAAAGTCTCAAAATGCTCCCAGATCAGTAGGTCATATGTATCAGGTGGTGTCTTTCTTTCTTCTACTCCAATCCTTCTTGATGGTGTTCTTTACCGTGAGGGACACATGTGAGAATTTGAGTGATGTCATGGTTGCTGGTGCCTCCATGACACTTGGCTTCTATACCAAAATGTGCTTTCTTCTAATAGCACCAAAACTATTTAGGCAGGTTTTAGAGGTGTGTGGTTTTCCTTGGGGAAAATGGAGAGATTATGCCTTTATCACTCTGTGTTACTCTTCAACCCTTGCGCGCCAAAAGAGTATGTTTGTTCCTCAGTCTCTTAGAGTCTCTCCTCAAAATAGCTCTATCATATTCTACTCAAAGCTTTTCTCTCCATAGTGTTCAAACTCGGGTCGAAAAGGCCAGGTGTATGTTAGTGTGTCTGTGGAGCAGGGATGGGAAGTTAGATAGAAATAAAACACCATTCTTGCTTCTCTGCCCCAGTTATCATTTTCTTTTCTATCATGCGGAATCCTTCCTCTGCAGCAATTCTCCTCATGTAACTAGAATCCTTAAAAACACTGCCTCACCAGGTAACCGAGTATATCTGAATCTGTTTAAATTCTGGTGTTAGGAACAACTTAACCTGTAACCAGAGACTCATATTTACTTTGTGGGCCCAATAGTTGGCCAAGTGACTGGCATGCATAGACACTAAACAAACACTTGTTGAATAAATGAATGAATGTATGTTTAAGTAGGGTCAGAGAGGGATGCTGGCAATACCATGGAGAGTGAAGGGGTTAGCCTCCCTCATTATCTCAGCCAGAGCACTGCTGCCATTCTGAAACAAATATATGATCTCAGTTAAAGCATAAAATGGAATAACATGCTTCTTAATGAGAAAGATAAAAAATCATCTTCGATTTGGGGGAAACAAAATGATAATTTCTTATTTTTCATATTATTCTAGAGTATTTTCTAGTAAGTCTGCTTCAATAAGAGCAGGATCTACCATTCACCAATTAATGAACCCACATTTGCACTCCGGACCTTATCTGGCACAGTATGTTTGATAATCACAATGGATGGAAACATGGATGAGTTACTGCCCCTAAGTTCAGAGGTTAAATTCAGAATCCAATAAGGTCTTATGACTTTATATCCCTGTAGAAAGATTAACTCCAAAAGCATTGTCTTCTATAGCCCATTTGATAGCAAACTGGATTGTATCTAACCTATTTTTTAGGCATTTTTTTTACTAACTGCATTTATTTCTCCTTTCCAAAACATAAGGAACCAGAAATTTTTATCTTCTCTGCTGGTTCTCACATTAAAAAGCAAAATAATGCTTTGACACGTGCTCGCTATATATTTGGTGAGAATTTTGCTTTAAAACTATGCAAATTCAACTTTAATTCAAGTTCTTTACCTCCCTTTTCCAATCAGATTGCAGCCCCTGAGCACCATCTCTCATGAAGGTTCTGGGGCCACCAGCAGAGAGGTGATAATATTCCTGTATTTCTTTGGAATTCAGGGAGTTACAATGCAGTAACACTTCATGGGGGAGAAAAGAAAGTACATTTCGAAACTGGCAGTGTGACTGAGTGTACTGAGATTAGCAGCTGTGAGGAGGACACCCTTTTCTGGGAAGATATCTTGGGAAGACTAGGGACTCAAAATGCCATAGGAGAAAATTGAATCAACTGTGAAATTATCATGGAAAGTACTTTGTAGTGGCTGGAAAACATAAAAGATCCAGAATTGGGTCAAATTCTTTCATGTCTTATTGTTTAATTTCTGAAAAATTTGTCGCCTTCCACATTCTTTAGTAGAAGGCCCTATAGAATTGAAAAAGCAAGGCCTAACTTTCATTCCAGTCTAGCCTCTCTTTAGCACTCTAGGACTAAAGTTAGATCTGAGCTCATAATCTTATATCTCTGAGCCTCAGCAGCTTTTGTTTCTGCCCCACCTGGTAGCATCTTCCACCCTTTGAAAACTCTTTTCTCATGTGCTGCCTACACAGTACAAGGCAAGCACTTTTAAGGGACTAGAGTTGGTCCCAATTAATGCAGTCGCTCCCTGTGTGCTTCCTGGGACTAGAGAGGCAGTGAACATGTTGGTGCGTATATCTTTGTGCACTTGCAAAAACCTCCTTAGGGTAAATTTCTGAAAATAAAATTGTGTCTCGGGTTGTCAAAACATCAGACACATCTTGCCAATTTTTCTCAAGAAATAATTGTATCAATTTATATTCTCATGAATAATCTATGAGACTTTTTTTCTTACTCTTGAGAATGCTGTTGCCTACATTCTTTCACTGAATAATTAAACTTTAAAATTAATATTGCTGCTATTTCATACCCATCAGACTGGCTATTTGAAAAAACAAAAGAAACTAGCAAGTGTTGGTGCAGATTCAGGAAATTGGAGCCCTAGTACACTACTGGTGGGAATGTAAAACGGTGTAGCTGCTGTGGAATAGAGTGTGGCGGTTCCTCAGAGTATTAAAAATAGAATTACCATGTGACTCAGCAATTTCACTTTTGAGTATATATTCAAAAAGATTGAAAGCAAGGACTCGAACAGATATTTGTACAGCCATGTTCATAGCAGCATTATTCACAATAGCCAAATGGTGAAATCAACCCCAGTGTCTATCAATAAATGGATAAACAGTATATAGTATATACATTTAATGGAATATAATTCAGCTTTAAAAAAGAAGTAAATTCTGATACACGTTACGACGTGGTTGAAACTTGAGGACATTTTACTAAGTGAAATAAGCCAGTCACAGAAGGACAAATACTGTATGCTTCCACTTAATATGAGACACCTAGTTTAGTCAAATTTATAGACAGAAAGTAAAATGATGGTTGCCAGGGGCTGAGGGAATGGATGAATGGGGAGTTATCATTTAACAGGCAGAGTTTCGTTTTGTAAGATAAATAATATCTGGGAATGATTGGTGGTGATAGTTGCATAACCATGTGAATTCACTTAATGTCACTGAACTTTATACTTAAAAATGGCTAAAATGGTCAATTTTATGCTATTCATATTTTACCACAATTTAAACATTTATTGTTGTATCATCTCAATAGATTCTAACATGAAGAATAAACTATTACGTGAGTCAAAGTTATGAGAAATATTTATCTAAGTTGGTATTATTGAGGAGGGAGTGATAATGGAGATTGGACAATAATATTTTGAAATCTTACAATGAATGAAGCTAAAAATTATAGTTTTGACCTATCTTAGGGTATCTAGTAGGTAGAGGCCAGGATCCAGATTTATTATGCAATATTGGGTGAGAGAAATGATCTGTGTAAATAATCCTCATTCTATTTCTGTGTCTTTTTTTCTACAATGTATATGAATCAGATCATTTACCTGGAAAATATATTATGATTATTTCAGGCCTTACTTATTATACTATACAATACTCTCCTAAATATTTTGTATATTGTATCACACCAAGATAGATGAAATGAACATGACTCAGAGGAGATGGTCCATAGCACACATCCAGGGTAGCTTATGTGCTAAACTTATTCAGCGGATGTGTAGAAGGTTGGTTTTTAGAGCGTGTCATGGACATTCCCAAAAGTTTGATAGGATTCTAATTCACTCAGACATTACAATTAAAGGCCATGAGCTTCCAGGCAAAGAGTGTTGTCTAGAGGCTTGATTTTCTGGTGTCTTTTCCTTAGCCACTGATATAGGGTCTGGCAACCCCTGGCCAAAGGCCCCTATTTACATCAACTGACTAATGAATTAGGACCCTATCTCTGAGTCTGAAGACAAAGAATGGGAACAGAAAAAAGATGAGCAGATTGGATTGCTGTGAAATGTACAAGAGCAATAGACACTCTCCCTACCAACCCCTGTCACTACTTCTTATCTCATTTCCCACAAGTTAGTTATAGGGAATAATAATAAAAAGATATTAAGAACTTTCACAGACAAAAGAAGAGCAATTAATACCTAAACTAGGCAGATTTCTTTTATCATACTGATTCTTCAGGCTTTTTTGGAAGAGAAATATTCTCAGATAAAGCCACATCTATGTAAAGCGAGGAAAGAAATTGTGAATAAATGTGACTATATCAGAAAGTGATGAATTGTTTGTAGTTTTGTGAATAGTGATATCTAAGCTAAATCAAAAATATGGAATCCACAAAAGTAGCATTGGACAATTGAAAAGTACTTTGTTGAGTGAGGTATTTATCCTGAGATATCTCCTATTAGAATCTACACCTTCTTTCCCCATGAATATTGTGTTGTATGGAAAGAACAGAACAAGTGAAATCTCTACAAATATAGCACTAGAAAGATGAATTATACAGTTTCTCAGAGGGCTTCAAGATCTTTTTGTTACAAATTGTGTCACAGAGAAAGGCTAATTACAAACTCAGAAACCCCACATAACCATACCAGAGACACTTCACTAAGTCAATACACTTTATTATTTCTACTGAACTAGAGATTCGTATGGATACAACTTTGGAGCACTCTTCAGGTGACCATTTTGTGTTCCTCTTGGTGCTAGTCATCCTTTCACTGCAGACAGTCATTCTCATAATGCATGCAAAATGGGCTAAATAACATGACCTGTTTGAAACCACATCTCAGAGCACTATCATGAACCTAGCCCACGTTGCCTGTGCATGGAATTAGGGGAAGAACAGAGGGAGGTGGATGATTAAAATTAATAGATCAAAATTATCATTCTTAATTTTGACCTATAAGAATCAACATGGAGAGAGATATATCCTCTTACTCTAACCTCATAGAGACTATTCTTCCAGAATGGTGGGAAGAAGATATCTTCCTGGTGGCTGATGCTTTACTGCTTGACAGATATTTCCAAAATATCATTTACATTATCAGGAATAATTTCTTGGATATCATTTTGCCATCGACAAGTGACAAGGGCATCTCCCTTCTTGTAAACAGATTTGTATTCACAGTCTGACATCATGATTCCATCTGTTAAATTACAATACACTCCTTCGATTAGTTTCTTGTTCCTGTGACATTTCTTAACTCCATTCTTACATGCCACAAATATATTGTGACATGCCTTTTGCAACTCCTCATAAGCTACTTGGAGGAAGAAATGTTCTTTCTTACAGTAAAACCTGTTTTGAACATTTTTTTCTCTTCGTTTCATCATTACAGTAGTTTTGATCATATAATGATCTTCCAGGATAAATTATGACATGCTTCTGGAAACTTTTTTTCATAGGTGGTTTGGTAGGCCCTGTGCTATATAATTCCTCCAACTAATCCTCAAATTTTTCTGCCATATCATCTGGTAAATCAAAATATCTATGCAGCATTAGAAATTGAAACGGAAGTGACTGCAGCAGCAAGAGGAGAAGAGGCAGGGCCTGCATGCTGAGCAGAGTTCCCATATTTTCCTGTGGGGAAAATAAGAGATAAGGGGATATGTCTGCTGTGATACTGTGACTGCTTCTACTCCTGTGCAGGCTCCATTTCTACCACCTATTGCTTTTCTGAGCTCGAAGACTTTGGACCATTTTAAAATTGACAAATCAGAATCTACTTAAGTATCTCTGAAATATTGACTAAAAACTGACCTTACTAGTCCTATGTTATTTAGCCCAGAAGACTGTGGATAAGAGAGGGAAAGGTGAAGGAATGAAGGAGAGAAAAGGAAAAGAGATAAAGGGAAGAAGGGAGAGAAAGAAACAAGGAAAGAATGAATGGTGGGAGGAAAGGAGAAAGGAGATCAAGACAGCAGTGGGGAGAGAGAAAGGCAGAAAAGAGGCTCACATGCTCCCTCCAGTTGAAACAAATGCATCGGTTCCCTTTTTAGGAGTTAAGAACTTGCACTGAGAAGAGCCATAGTGATCCACCTTCCCCTCATTACCCTCCTGCTGTAATGTGAAAATTCTCCCTCTTGGAATTTTCTTCTCTTGCTCACCTCTGACCATAGATACCTTCGGAGAAGGGATCAAACAAGGTCCATAGGGTCAAATGAACACCATTGGCCGAATGTCTGTGTGTGTCTGCTTTTACTACTACCTCATTACCTGGAAAGGCTTGGTCCATTTTGCAGCCTCCTCTGCCTCCTCTTCCACCCAGAATAACTCTTCCATTAAGGTATATCATTCACCTTGTGTTTCTTTCTTCTTCTTCTTTTTTTTCCTCCTAGGTAGACTTCACGGTTTCTGCTATGATCAGGTTTTCCTTTAGGTTTCCCTAACTCTCTCTATCCTTGTATGCCTGTCTGTAATCATGTTAACTTCATTAGAGATTTCAGTTATTACGTTACTTCCTTCTCTGTGTGTTTCCATGTCTACTCACTCTAAAATAAAATTAATAAACAATAATGGCTAATATAATGAGCAATTATATGCCAAGCACTATCACATGTTATCATCATCCTCTTCATCATCCTCCAAACAATCTTATGATAGAAATTTTACTTTTAGTACTGTTTTTGTTTTTACTATAATTAGTATATTTTTGAGAAAGGAGGTCGTTTAAAAATCTTACATCAAGTCTGGCAGCATCCTGGTTCAAGCCCGGGTCACAAGTCTATCTGATTTCCACATCTTTGTTCTTAACTGCTATTCTTCATCAGTCTAGTGTCCCTTCCTGAGGCTAGGCTGTACCTCCTTTTCGAGGCTGTCTTTGTAACTCTATGAGAAGAGACTAACAGAAGCAGAGAGACCACCAAAATGGCCAATACTAGGATTTCCTTTGAGCCACTAGAGTGCTGTGATAAACTGGCCCACATTCCGTGAAGCTTAGCTATGCTGTTGCAGAAGCAGTTTCCTGGGTTTTCTTACTCCATATGCTCTTGGTGTAAGAAAAGTCCCTTCTTAAGGCAATCTGAAAATTCTCCAGTACTGGTAACTCGAAGACCCTTAACTACATGAAGATGGAGCTGGAGACAAAGAGCCTCAGATTTCAAGTTAGATCCATGTCTGTGTCTATTTGAGTAGAAAAGATGAGAGAATGGTGGAGTTAAAAAAAGGTAGATGTTGGGAACACACATCAGAAAGTGTAGAGAATAGGAAAATTGAAGACAGGAGATCTGAGAATGGAACAGGAAAGGAAAAAAAATGGTCTAAAAAATGGGGATGTGAGTGGGCGCTCTTGGTGTGACCATTTTTGTAAGCCATTCCTCCCCTCTTTGCCTTCACATTCTCATCAGTCTCCTCCAGGGAATCTCTTCAGAGGACTAACCTCATTGTGATAGTCAGGGAGTTCAGCACACATTTCCATTAAGGACAACCTGGCACCTTAGTGATATCTTGGGCTGGAGAGAAAAGGACAGCAGAGTTCAGCTCCTGTGGCCTGTGCAACCTGCTGAGGACATGCACCAGGGCCTACCAGGTCACCTCTTCATTTTTTATATCTTTGAACTTCTTAATCCTTTATGAATTCAACTTGTGGTTTCATACTTCTCAAAATCCTTTCTCACCCAAAAGCATATGCATTTTCACTTATGCTATATTTTATTACTTTTATGAATTTTTTCATTTAAGCTTTCCATCCATCTGGAATTTACTTTGAAGTATAGTGAGAGTAGTTTTTTTTCACATGGTTTATACATAATCCCAGTGGAATAAAACACTTGTGGAATAAAATACATTCTCTTACCCTTAATTTAAAAGTTACCTTCCACAATGAGATACCATTTCACATCTGTTAGAATAGCTGTTATCAACAGGACAAATAATAACAAGTGTTGGAGAGGTTGTTGGGGAAAGGGAACCCTAATACACTGCTGCTGGGACTGCGAATTGGTACAGCCACTATGGAAAACAGTATGGAGTTTCCTCAAAAAATTAAGAATTGATCTACCATGTGATCCAGCAATCCCTCTACTGGATATTTACTCCAGAGACTTGAAAAACCATATCAGAAAAGATATTTGCACATCAATGTTCATAGCAGCATTATTCACAGTGGCCAGGACATGGAAGCAACGAAAGTGTCCTATGATAGATGATTGGATAAAGAAGCTGTGGTACATATATACAATAGAATATTACTCAGCCATAAGAAGAGATGAAATATTGCCATTTGCGACAACATGGATGGACCTTGAGATAATAATCATGCAAAGCGAAATAAGCCAGACAGAAAAAGTTGAAAACATGATATCACTTATATGTGGGATATAAACCTAAAAGCAACGAATGAATAAGACAAACAAACAGAGACTCACGGACATGGACAATAGACTAGTAGTTACCAGAGGGTGGAGGAGGGAGTAATGAGGAGGTAGATGGGGGTTAAAGGGGTCAAGTATATGGTGACAGAAAGAAATCTAACTATGGGTGGTGAACACACAATACAATATATGTATACCTTACTGTTGAATTGTACACCTGAAACTTACTGGATTTCATTAACCAATGTCACCATAATAAAAATAAATAAATAAAAATTAAAAATAAATACATAATAAAAGTTACCTTATATATTAAATAATTCTATTTCTGAATGATCTTTTGTATTTTGAGTATAGATTTATCTATTCATGTGCCAGTAATAGGTTTTTACTTATGATCATTTTATAAAACATTAAATGTGAAGCAATTACATTCATTTCTCTTCTTGTTCAAAAGTTTAGAATAGAGACAGAACAGAAAGTAGATTAGTGGTTGCCTGGGGCAGAATATAGGAATGGGGATTAATTAAAATGGCAAGAGAATGAGAGAGAGAGAAAGACAGAGACAGAGACAGAGAAGACAGAATAGATAGTATTGAAACATGCTCATGCAATGTTTCTTAAATTTTTGCCTGGTAATCTCACACAGCAGACTCATCTGTCCTATTTGTGGAACAGACTCCTTGGTTTTTGCACAGACCTCAATATTCAAAGTCTCTGTAAATGGGACAGAAATTTGCACTTTAAACAAATTCACAAGGCGAAGTTTAGCCCACTAAAATTTGAAAAGCACTTTCTTAATATACAGAAAATGTACTTCATGATAAAGAAACATCTGCAA